CAACTCCCTGGACTGAGCGATTCCTAAATGGAAGGATATTTCAAGGTGAAGGCAGCCTCTGGGGCACGTGGCAATGGGAGACCACTTTCACCAGACCAGGAACCCTTGCCCAGCTGAACTCCAGCCTAAGGAACAGGCCAATGGTAGAGGGGATTCTCTAGGCCCCGGAGCATTTAAGGACCCTTCCCGCAACCCCACACCCCAAGCCCCTACACACAGTCCATTCCAGCTCTCCCCGAACTTCCCTTGCCCCCCACCCCACCCTGCAAGCTGGTGTTGCTGGTGGCCACCTCTAGGGACCTACCTCCAACAGCTGCACGGCCCCTTCATGTTCTCTCCTGGCTTCTGCCTGGGCCTACAGGTGGGAGGAGGCAGAATGCTGAAGGGGGAGGATAAGGACTGGGAGCGGAACAGAGGGAGATAGAAGGGGGGTGGGAAGGTGAAAGTGGGGAGAAAGAGGAAGAAAGGAGGAGAAGAGGAAGAGGGAAGGAGGACTGGAAAGGGGAGGCTGAGGGCTCCTCCCTCCTGAACCCCCAGCCCTGCTGAGCGCACACCTTAGGCCAGAAGGCAATGGTGTCCAGGGTAGCCTAAGGAACAGGCCAATGGTAGCGGGGATTCTCTAGGCCCCGGAGCATTTAAGGGCCCTTCCCGCAACCTCACACCCCAAGCCCCTACACACAGTCCACTCCAGCTCTCCCCGAACTTCCCTTGCCCCCCACCCCACCCTGCAAGCTGGTGTTGCTGGTGGCCACCTCTAGGGACCTACCTCCAACAGCTGCACGGCCCCTTCATGTTCTCTCCTGGCTTCTGCCTGGGCCTACAGGTGGGAGGAAGCAGAATGCTGAAGGGGGAGGATAAGGACTGGGAGCGGAACAGAGGGAGATAGAAGGGGGGGTGGGAAGGTGAAAGTGGGGAGAAAGAGTAAGAAAGGAGGAGAAGAAGAAGAGGGAAGGAGGACTGGAAAGGGGAGGCTAAGGGCTCCTCCCTCCTGAACCCCCAGACCTGCTGAGCGCACACCTTAGGCCAGAAGGCAATGGTGTCAAGGGGAGGCAGGTCTCATGCTGTTTCTCTTTCCGGGACATCCAGTGTCCGGTTTCCCTCCTACCTCTCTGGACGCTCCTTCTCAGCCTCTTTCACCTGCTCCCTGCCTCCAACCCTTTTTGAATGTTAGGGTACTGCTGGGCCCACTTTATACTCTTCACTCTCCACAAGGGGCCCCTCGAGTCACAGTCCAAAACACAGCTTCAAGACCAATATCCCATGACTCCAGACGAACAGATCCC